GTGCTTTGCCTATGTAAATCCCCTCTTCATTTGCTACCTGTCTTTCCCAAAAGGGTCAATATAATCTTTTGAACTTTACTGAGATATAATTTACATAACACGGTGTATTCATATATTTTGACAAATGTATATAACTGTATAACCGACATAATCAAAATGAAAAATATGTCCATCATCCCAGAAAGTTCTCTTCTATCACTTTTTAATCCCTGTATCTCCTGCCCCAGCCCCAGGCAAACCCTCATCTCGTTTCTGACACTGTAGATTAGTTTGTGGGTTTTTTTTTTTTCCCCCAAGAATTTCAATTTCATGTACATAGAATCATATAGTATGTAATTGTTTTGTATTTGGTTTCTTTTGCTTTGTATAATGTTTTTAAAACTTATTCATGTTGTTGAATATATCAGTAATTTGTCTTTTTTATTGCTCAGTAGTATTCCATTGTGTGGATATTTATATTTTGTTTATTCATCTATTGAAGTTTATTTGGGTCATTTCCAGTTTGGGGCTATTATAGATGAAGCATCTATAAACATTTATAGACAAGTCTTTGTATGGACATGTGTTTTCATTTGTCTTGGGGCAAATGACATAGGAGAGAGCTGCTGCATCATATGATAAGTGTATGTGCATTCCACTTGCTTAACAGTGTCATCAGCTCTTGGTATTGTCACACTTTTTAAACTTTAGCCACTGTAGCGAATATGTGATAGTATCTCATTGTGGTTTTAATTTGCATTTCTTTGATGACTAATGGTGTTGAACATTACTATATTTTTTGTGTGACTTGTCCTTTCAAATCTTTTGTCCAGTTCCCCACACTCTTTTTAAATTGATTTGTCTCATTGAGTTGTAAGTTTTTTAACATATTCTGGTTATTAAGCATTTGTCAGGTATATGTATTGCAAATATCTTCCGGAGTCTTAGCTTGCTTTTTTCTCTTTTTTCTTTTCTTATCTTTTTGTTTGTTTGTTTGTTTGTTTTTGAGACAGGTTCTCACCCTGTTGCCCAGGCTGGCACATTCCCGGCTCACTGCAGCCTTGATCTCCTGGGTTCAAGTGATCCTCTCACCTCAGCCTCTCGTATAGCTCGGACTACAGGTGCACACCACCATGCTCTGCTAATTTTTGTATTTTTTTCTAGAGATGGGGTTTCATCATATTGCCCAGGCTGGTCTTGAACTCCTGGGCTCAAACGATCTGTCTGCATTAGCCTCCCAGGATGCTGGGATTACAGGTGTGAGCCATTGCACCCACTTCTTTTTATTTTCTTAACTGTGTATTTCAAAGCAGAACATTTTAACTTAGATGAAATCCAATTAAACTATGTGTATGTGTTTTACATCTTTGGGGTCCTATCTAAAATCTTTACCTAACCCAAAATTATGAAGATTTTCTTGTTATTTTCTTCTAGAAATTTTGTATTAACTTTCATATCTTAATGTTGAGTCTTCTAATCCATCAACTTGAATTTCTTTCCATTTATTTAGGTCTTCTTTAATTTCAGCAGTGTTTTGTAGTTTTCAGCATACAGGTCTTGCACATATTTTGTTAAATTTACTCCTAGGTATTTTATGTTTTTTGATACTTTTATTAAATGGTTTGTTTTAACCTTAATTTTTTCAGTTGTTTGTTGCTAGTATACAGAAATACAATGATTCATACATATCGACTTTATATTTCACAGCCTTGCTAAATTCATTTATTAGTTCTAGTAGTTTCTTTATCTTAATGAAGGTTCTTTAGAATTTTCTATGTCATGTTATGCAGATAAACAGTTTTACTTTTTCCTTCCCAATCTACATCCCTTTTATCACCTTCTCTTGCCTTATGTCTAGGGTTTCCAGCATGGTGTTGAATAGGAGTTGTTAGACTGGATACACTTGCCTTATTCCCAATCTTAGAAGGAAAGCAGCCAGGCCTTTTACCATAAAGTTTCATTAGCTGTAAGATTTTAAAAAAATAAAATAGATGCCCTTTATCAGTTTGATCCCTAGTTTCTTGAGAATTTTTATCATAAATGGATGTTGAACTTTGATAAATATCTTTTCTGCATCTATTGATATGATCGTGTGGGTTTTTTCCCCTTTATTCTGTTAATATTGTGATTAAGTAATTTTTAAATGTTGAGCCAACCTTGCATTCACAGGATAAACCTCGCTTGGTCAGTATATATAATCTTTTTTATATATTGCTTGATTTGTTAATATTTTGTTGTGAATTTTTTATTTGTGTTTATGAGGGATACAAATTCATAATTTACTTTTCTTGTAACTTCTTTGGTTTTACATGAAGGTAATGCTGACTTCATAAAATGAGTTGGGAAGTGTTCCTTGCTTCTATTTTCTAGAAAAGCTGTAGGTAATACTAATATGTTTATTCCTTAAATGTTTAGCAATGAAACCATTTGGGCCAGGCCCCATCTTGATCATACACAGCTGTGCCCATTTATTTTTGTATGGTCTTTGGTTACTTTGTGCTACATTGGCAAAGTTAAGTAGTGCGACAGACTGTATAATCCACAAAGCCTAAACTGTTTACTCTCAGGCCCTTTACAGAAAATGTTTTCTAGCCCCTGACCTAGAGTAGTGATTCTCAACTCTAGCCACATACTGGAGTCACCTGGAGAACGTCTGAAAAAAAATACTGTCTGGATCTCATACCTAGAAATTCTAATTTAATGTGTTTGAGCTGAGACTAGGCCATTGGAAGTTTCAAAAGCTCCCCAGGTGATTTGACTCGGCAGGTTGAGAACTGCTGGATGAGAATAAGACTTTGTGTTTGTATTCATTTTACTTCCCACCCCAACACTGATTATTCTAATGTGCATTTAGGGTTGAAAATCACTCATCTAGGGCAGTAGTTTCCATGTCTGGATGTGTATCAGTCACCCGGGGAGCTTTTAGAAATACATTCCAAGACCTCACTGCAGAGCTACTGAAGCAGAATCTCCAGTACATGAGGCCAGAGATGTTTATTTTTACTAATTAATTAATTTTATTTTTATTTTTTAATTCTTCAGATAGTTCTCATATATGCAGGGATTTCTTTAAAAGAGTACTGAACCCAGGGCACATTATTCTATTGTCAAGATTCTTGGGCATTGAATGAGTAATTAGAGGATTATGAGAGGTGAAGCCAGCTGGACTTCCTAGGTCAGGTGGGGACTTACAGAACTTTTCTGTCTTACAAGAGGATTGTAAAATGCACCAATCAGTGCCCTGTGAAAACGCACCAATCAGTGCTCTGTAGCTAGCTAGAGGTTTGTAAAATGGACCAATCAGCACTCTGTAAAATGGACCAACCAGCACACTGTAAAATGGACAAATCAGCACTCTGTAAAATGGACCAATCAGCAGGATATGGGTGGGGACAAATAAGAACATAAAAGCTGGCCACCCCCAAGCAAGCAGCCACAACGCACTCGGGTGCCCTTACGTGCTGTGGAAGCTTTGTTCTTTCGGTCTTCACAGTAAATCAGGCTGCTGCTCACTCCTTGGGTCTGTGCCATCTTTAAGAGCTGTAACACTCGCCCTGAAGGTCTGTGGCTCTGTTCTTGAAGTCAGTGAGACTGTGAACCCACCAGAAGGAACCAACTCCAGATACAATTATTTAGTGAGTATGGAAGTGAAGAAAAGGGATTTAGATGTTTGAGACCGTGCAATGCAGGCTGTGGACAATCTCATTGACTAGTCCTCTGTAATGATGAAAAACTTCATTTCTAGTAGACAGTAATCTAACCTCCTTTGTACACTGCTGGATAACATGGAACATGTTTTTTTCCTCTTTGGTTTATCTTTAAATGGGCTCCATAAAGACAAGTCCTTCCATTAACATTCTTTCTTCAGATAATTGGGTTACATGACGGGAAATTAGATCTTTTTTTTTTTTTTTTCATTTCTGTTTTGAGTCTATAGTTCCCCATCCCATCAGCTTGCATGCTTCTCTCATCTCTTCAGCACCACATTTACTAATTGTCTCTTAGGCTAGACACTTTGGAGATAGCTAGGTTCATTTGTGCTACATTTTTGCCCTTGGCCACCTCAATCTAATCTCCTGATATACTTCCTACCTCTCAAATCGACTTTTTGCTCAACTAAGAAACCATCTGTTAACCCTTCAACTGTATTACACAGTACCTCTTCAGTTCAGATGAGATGTGTAAAACCATGGGCTGTTGAGCTGGAAGAGACTTTATAGACCATCTTGTCTAAACTCGAAAAAGATAATTATAGGCAGTTAGTTAGGTACAGATTTTTGTTAATGTGTTTTTGATGGGTACATCATGCTACACATATGCAATTCTTGCTTCGGGGTTTATAATCTGTTACTGCAAACCCTAGCTATGAAGAACGTCAGTAGGGTCAAGTCCATTCATGTGTAATGCTGATAGGCAGTGAATAACCACGGTCAAGCCAAATCTCTGTGAGACTTACCTTCCTCTTCCGTAAAATGAGGAGAATGAATATGTACTTTATAAACTGTAAGATGCTTTTTCTTTTGGTTTGGGAAGAACCTTGGACAGGAAGGAAAACAAAAATGTATCAGTCAATCTGAGAATCACTTAGTTATTACATGGGTCCTCAAGCCCAGAAGATACTAGCTTAACCTAAAAGGAACGATCTTGGAAATAAGAATTTCTAGTATATTAAATGTGCTATTCACTAGTCAAGCAATCACTGATTTCCTTAAAGTCCTAAGCAATACTATAAAACAGAAGATCGTATCTGCTTTCAAGAGATTACAGTGAAGTTAATCATTTAGTTGCACTTTAGGGCATTTGTGTTATTATTTATGGTAACTTAGAAAATGGGAGGTATTAAAGGACCTATGAAAATACCGTAAATCAATTTTAAAAGTGTATAAGCTGGCATATTTTTCAATTTGTCTGCAAGGCTGGCTTAACGATTGGCATGATAACAGTGGTTACTCTCATAAGGCATTAAATATATAGATTTAAATGATTTTTACAAGTAAAAATAAAATTTTGTAGTCATTTAGTTTAGTTCAACAAACATTTATTGAGAATATGAGTAATCAAAGGTTGTCCCAGTACTCAAGGCGATGATTGTCAGGTAGCAGAAACAATTACAAGTTGATGGAAAATGCTGGGATTGAAGTACTCACAAAGAGCTATGGAAGCCCTGTAGGGACTGGGGAGTAAGAAGGGATGTCAAGAAGGCTGCTATGCAGAAGAAGCAATGTTTTGGCTGAGGCTTGAAAGTTTCAGTGTAATGTGGGAGGAAGAGCAAATGGAACAGTGTGTGAAAAGACATGGGGGCATGAGAACACATGGTGTTTTGAGAGACCAAGGTGGACCTCAGGATGAGTGTAAGGCAGTCAGAAATGAGATGGAAAGGGGTCAAATCATGACTGGCTTGCTTGTTTGATCATTTTCCTATGAGTGACAATGCTGACGGATTCAAATTTAAGGAGTACAAGATCTGTATTCTAAAAATTCTCTTATCAGTATTTCTAATTGAACAAGGATAGACAACAGCTGGGTAAGAAAGACTAGAGGTAGAACTCTCAGCCAGGGATCATGGAATGTGAATATCCTTTTACTAACACAAGGGACAACATGTTGGCTCCAAACGTTATTTACTTTATACCACTATTAGCTGTTCATTCAGTTTTTTAACTTCTTTAGAGCAATTTTATTTCTAATCTATTTTTCCCAATTACCCATTACATTAGAAACATTATCATGCCTGTCACTGATGAAACATACTAAGAAAAGTGAAAAATACATATTCTTTAAAGTGCCTCCCTTTTAAGGATTTTGTATCAGTGAAGCACTGATTGTGGAATTCATGTACAGTCTTCAGAAGTCACAGTATATAAGCTCTGACTATCAATAGCAGCTTAACAGGCTCTATCAAACCAAGCATTACCAAGTATAGGTAAAATTACACATATTTGAAACTTACATCATTATTTTCCTACCAATGAGTGATACATCATAATTTTCATTATGCCTTCAAAAATCCCTGAGAGAGGCCAGAAACCCATTCTGCTGATGAAGAAACTAAGGTAAAGATTTCTCTTTGGTCTCAGTGTAAGAGCCTGGAATATGTCAGGGAGATTATTGCTTTTGACCTTATCAAGTTTCTTGATCCCGCCTTACACCCTTAAGTTTTAATGTTTCTCTTCTGTGTCCAAAAGTGAGGCGTATTTGAGATTTGTTCTGTGTATTCCAAGTATATTGCACGATACGCACAAAGTGCTCAAAGTGTGTGGTACCGCAAGAAGCTAAAGCCAGGAGCTGTCTCTCTGACTGTCCAGTTTAGGAGAAAAGATACATCAAATGGGTTCTCAGTGAAGCACTGATTGTGGAATTCATTTACAGTCTTCAGAAGTCACAGTATGTGATATGTGCATTCATAGATTTTTTTTCTGTTTAAATCACAGTCATCTGTCTGAAGCATTCTTCACTGGATTCTTCTATTGAATTAACTGGATTGAATTAACTTCTATTGAATTAACTTCTATTGTCTTCACTGGATTCTTCCTGTATAAGAAGTTCATAGCTTCCCTCATTCCAGCTGATACACTTGACAACACTACAAAAGGAAACAAGACATTTTAGAGATGAGATTAAGACAATACATAAATAAGTAATCTGTTTTCCAACTTTTTTTCCCAGTTATATAGCTTTTAATAAATTATGCAGATTATTAGGAGGAGGATCCTGGCATTTTGAATCCAGCTGATTCATGCATGGTGTTCTTAAAATAATTTTAAAACTACATGATTTTTTAAAATCTTCTAGACCCCTAAGATATCCCATCTGTCCCATTGTTAACTCTGTGTAGTCCACATAACTAGTTATAACTAAAGCTATTAAAGAAGTTCCTGTTCGGTAGCTGTAACTGAAGCCCAGAAGCTTTGGAGGTAAGACAGCATGTAATTTTGATTTTTAAAATATTGAGCAGTGTAGGGTTAAAAAAAAATCTCAGAAGCCTATCTACATTTACCTTATTATTAAAAGGACAACTGCCTTTTATCTACTTGTTACAACAGAATTTATAAATATATGAAGACTAAAATTAGAATTACCTATTATTCTACTCACCATGTATGCAATTCTTTTCTTTAATTTAAATTTTGTTTTCCTACTTTTTAAAAAAATCTTTTTTTTTTTGGTAAAGATGGGAGTCTCACTATGTTGCCCAGATTGGTCTTGAACTCCTGGCCTCAAGCAGTCCTCCTACCTCAACCTCCCAAGGTGCTGGGGTTACAGGCATGAGCCACGGTGCCTGCTACAATTCTTACTAGTTATTTTTCATGAAATGGCTGTACCATCATTTACTTAAACATTCTCCCACGGTTTGACAGTTTGGTCATTTAAAATTTTTTTGCTGTAATTAACGTTTTTATATATCAATTTTTGACAACATTACTGAAGATTTCTTTAGAGTATGTTTCTAAAAGGAATTGCTGGATCAATCACTGTGAACTTTGAAAAAAGAGCTTTTGATACGTTCATGAATTGCTTTATGATACAGCTGAATAGCACTATTATCAACAGTGTGTAAGATCAGTTGTCTTATGTGCTCACCAGCGCAGTATGTACTGGTAATTTTGTTAATTCAATAGATGAATAGTCTCTTTTTAAAAAAGATAACTAGTATAAATAACTCTTCATCAAAATTAGAGGAACTGCAAATACTGTTGTTCTCTGTCTGACACAGATCTAGGTATCAGAATTCAGTAGAAACAGTAAGTACTGAGCTCCTACTATGAGTAAGACATGAGCCGGCCCGTTCCGGAGTCTGCCATCTTGGCAGGATGCTTAACACCTGTGCTTATAGGTACTTTCCTCCCTAACTCAGAGCCTTACCCCAAAGTGCTTAGGAGAAAGCAGAGAAGGCCTGGCTTCTTGTGCCCCCACTGCCTTGATTCCCATCACTGTGCTATGCTATCAGCCACATGAAATGCACAGAGCTCAGCAGAAACAGATTAATGAGCTCTTCATTAATGTGTCAAATAAATTTGCTTGGACATTTCAGCCATCATTCATCTCGCCAGCTCACATTTTTTGTTAAATAGAAAGCAAAAAGAAGGCATAAATATTGCTCTTATATTTATGCTTCTGATCTATCCATTATATGTACTATTCATAAATGGAATTTTGTGCTTCTTTAATTTGAATATTTAAATTTAAAAACATTTAAACAGAAGTTTAAACAAGTCATTAAAACCAGACAAAGTCATTAAACAAGCCAACTCTGGAAAGAGAACTCAATAGTCAGCACATCCTAACTGCTTTTGTCATTTATACAAGAATCCACGTGAAAGTCAATCTAATTACAGCAATATTTGACCATCAGGGGATATTGTACTCTGGGAAATCATAGTTTAAGGTATACATCTCTAATCTTAGATGCTAATTTAATCAATGGTTTAAAGGCGGGGAGTTATAACAAACACAGTCTTTCTTTGAGTTCTTTACGCATGTCACTCTCTTTTTCTTCCTAAGTCTCCCAAAATTGTTGACAGATGCTTTCACATATTTTTATTTATTTTAATGACATGGGGGTCTTGCTATGTTGTCCAGGCTGGTCTCAAACACCTGGGCTCAAAATGATCTTCCCGCCTCAGTCTCCTGAGTAGCTGGGACTTCAGGCATACACCACCATGACCGGCTCTCTTTTTTTTAATTAAAAAAATTTATTTTCTTAAAATATGAAACACTTCATGAATTTGCATGTCATCCTTGCACAGGGAGCATGCTAATCTTCACTGTGTCATTCCAATTTTGTATACATGCTGCTGAAGCGAGCACTTCATGTCTAAAAGTTCTTGAGAAAAGCACATTCTGAGGCAAAATTTCAACAGATCTATGTAATTTTACTGGTGAGGTTAGGGGATTCACTTAATCCATATACCCTTTGATAAAATGATTAAAAATAATGACATACCATAGACTGATGGCTGGAAGTAGTAACAGACCAGCAGACAGCAGGAAAGTGAAGCCAGGGTACCAAGCAACAGTGACTGAGTAAATGCCATTAAAAGTAGAAACTGCAGTGACTCCTCCAAGTGTTTCTAAGAAAGCAATACAAGCAAACAGGGTACCTGTTTGGGGTAAGGGTATAGAGGGAGAAAAAGAAAAAGCAGAATTACAAAACAACGAACACAAACTAACGAAGACAACTGTTATTCATTGAAAACAGTAAACATGAGGGCACTGCTTGGTGAATGAAATGCATGTTATTCCCTCAAAGTCCCTGGGAAGTCAGCAGCGCATTCTGCAGCTGAGGACACTAAGGGAAAGGTTCTCCTTGGACCTGATGGGAGAGATGTTGAAAACTCCAGATAGCTGAGTTCCAGTGTCCACAGGGCAAAGCTAAAAAGACAATGCAGCCGACTCTTTTGAAAACTGCAGGTCTCTGCCACTGCAGGTCTTTGCCTCTCTGCCACAGCCCCAGGCAAAGCCACACCTACCCCTGCTCTTCAGGATGCTGTCTCCCACCCTCCGTCCCCATGCTAATCTGTGATGCCTGAAAGCGCAGGATGGCTCCTAACAAGCAATGCTTCCTGCAAGAGCCTTTTGAAAGGTAAAGAAAACTTATCTGCTCCTCAGTCTGGCAAAAGTGACAGCTGCAGGCAAAGAGAGGAGATTCTTATCATACATTCCGCAATTGGAATTTTATCCCTCTCTTCAATGTGACCAAAAAATTCCATCACCACTAGATTCTGCATGTTTGACTCATCAAATTAACCATCCTGTGCTCTAGTGAAGGTTTATGCCACAGTTTAATGTTAAGTGATTCTTGAAAACATATGTTTCCACCTTATTGCTTGCAACTGCCTCTGCCCTAAGGTGCCTTACAAGATGAAGAATGGGGATTCTGCCATGGTCACACTTGCTATACACCAAAGCTGGTCAAGGGTAGGCCACTCAGCATTGTTCATGAGGTCTGCATGGTCAGTACAAGCTCACAATCAGAAACACAGTATTCTACCTAGGTTCAGTTTCGTCTGGAATCCAAGACCATGTCAACTGAAGAGTTAAACCTCCAAAAGACAGCCTGGCCATCTTCATGTGCTTTTCTTCCTCTTTGTCAAATTGCTCATCATCAGATATAAAATTTCATGACCACTTTCAGTCAGCTTGATCTGGCTTTCTTGGTCTCAGTTCCTATATATGTATCTTCTGCTTTCTGCAGATTTTGTCAACAAGCCACTATGCTTATTCCCCACTTTGCCAAATTTACTTTTCCATGATAAACTGTAATGCATTTTTCTTATTGACAATACACATCATGTAAATAACTGTGTTTGCTTGGACTGATAGGAAGGAAAAGGCCAAGCTTAAGGGTTATCTTTCAAAATTAGATATGGTTTGTCTATATTCTAATTTTCCCCATGGTCTTGATCTTTTAGACCGTGTATTGATTTTTATCTATTTAAACTTTTTCATTTTATTGTACATATTCTCATATATTGCTTCAAATTATTCGCTGAGCGATAGGACATACCTTCATAAAACATACATCTGTCTCTGGGAAATATCATGTGATCACTTATGTGTCTTCTTTTGACTAAAATGAAAGCTTTGTCGATCTGCCTTGCTCACAGCTGTATCCCTAGGGCTCAGCTGTCCTGGTGCATGGCAGGCATTTAATAAATATTTGTCAAATGAATGAATAAAAGCTTAATTCAGGATCCCATTTACCAGTCATCAAGTAGCATGCAGACTTACTGCCTCCATGATTTATGATAATACATTAAGTCCGTTTAATTGGAAGGATGCTCTTCTACTTGTCTAACTACATTATTTTCTTTTGTTTCTGATCTCCTGCTGCAGCCAGGAATAGTGCTATGGAAAACAGACTGCACAGCACTAGTTCTGTTATATAAGGGTTTTAATCTATTCTTGATGGGAAATAGGTCAGACACTGCACCATCTGTTCTGATGGAACCATACTATTATGAAGTAGCTTTAGCTTATTGCCCAACTTCTCTGAGCAGTTCAACTTGTTTAATAGTTGCCAGAGATAAAACAGGATTAAAGGATGAGTCCAACTGAGTTCATCTTCTAAATTTTTTTTTTTTAATGGAATAGACCTCAAAAATCAAGTCTGTTTTACTGTATCCCAATTTATAATCACAAGGAGTATATGGGTGATGCCCAGGTAAAATAGTCCAAGGCAGCTTCAGCTATGAGTTCACAGTGGTGCAGAGCGTAGAGATTTCAAAATAATTACCGGAATTCCATTTTCGTACCTTTCTTATTTAAGATAATAGAAATAACGAGAGGCTCCTGAAAACTTTGGCAGTATTTCCCCACTCCTCTCGTTGTTTAAAGTGCCTAATATTTTTCACAAAAATGGCCAATTTAAATAATAATGAAGGATGGGAATATATTTAATTATAGAAATGTTGGCATCATCCAAAAGATTGTTTAGTTTGCAGTTAAGAACAAAATAAGTATCCCAGAATAATGAAGTCACAATTCACAGTTACTGGAATTCAAAATAAGAAACGCCAAAATGTAAACATTTTAAAATATTACTGTATTTAACAGTATGATATGACTTTTTTATTTTTATTTTTCATAGAGATAGAGTCTCCCTCTGTTGCCCACGCTGCTCTTGAACTCCTGGCCTCAAGTGATCCTCCCACCTCGGCCTCCCAAAGTGCTGGGATTATAGGTGTGAGCCACTGCACCTGGCGCAGATGACTTTTTAAAAGCCTTCATAAACTAAACCAAATATAAACAAAAATAAACTATACATCTTGACAGCTCTATTTTAGCTCTAAATCAAAGCAGGTAAATTTTTTTCCCCAACAGCTTTATTGAGATATAATTAACATCCCACAAAACTCACCCTTTTAAAGTCTGCAATTCAGTGGTTCTTAGTATGTTACAGAGTTGTGCAACCATCACTACTATCTGTGGAACATTTTCATCAGCCCCAAAAGAAACTGTGTACCCATAAGTAGTCATTCCCCTTCCCCAGCCCCAGTCAAGCCCTAATCGAATTTCTGTCTCTATGGATTTGCCTATTCTGCACATTTCACGTAAACAGAATCATATTTAAATGACAATATGTGGCCTTTTGGGACTGGCTTCTTAAATTTTGCATAATCATTTCATAGTTCATCCACGTTACGGCATGTAACAGAATAATATTTCTTTTTATTGCAGAAGAGCAGTTTGCTGGATGGATAAACCACATTTTGTTTATCCATTTGTCAGTTCACGAACATTTGCATAGGTTTCACTTTTTGGCTATTATGAATAATGCTGCCATGAACAAGATTTTGTGTGGACATATGCTTTCACTTCTCGTGGTATGTAAGTAGGGGAGGGATTGCTGAATCATAAGGCAACTAACTTTCTGAGGAACTGCCAAACTGCTTTGCACAGCTGCTGCACCATTTTATGTTCCCACTCGCCGTGTATGAGGGCTCCAATTTCTCCACATCCTCATCAACACTTGCTATGGCCTATTTTATTTTGGCCACCCCAGTGGGTCTCACTCTGTGGTTTTGCTTTGCATTTCCCTGATGGCTAAAGATATCCAGCATTTTCATGTGCTTATAGGTCATTTGTATATCTTCTGTTCAAATCCTTTGCCCATTTTTAAATTGAGCTGTCTTTTTGTTGCTGAATTTTAAGAGTTCTTAAATATGCTGCATACGAGTTCCTGATCAGACAAATATAATTTGCAAATATCTTCTCCCATTCTGTGGGTTGTTGGTTACCCTTTCTCTCCTTCCTCCCCTCCCCTCCCCTCCCCTCTCCTTTCCTTTCCTTTCTGTATTTTTAGTAGAGAAGGGGTTTCACCATGTTGGTAAGACTGGTCTCGAACTCCTGACCTCGGGTGATGCGCCCACTTTGCCCTTCCAAACTGCTGGGATTACAGGTGTGAGCCACTGCTCCTGGCCTCACTTTCTTGATGTTGTCCTTTGAAACATAAAAACTTTTCAAAGGACAAACTTTGAATGAAATTTTTGGATGAAGTCTAATCTATCAATGTTTTCCTTTGTTATTGTGCTTTTGGTGTCATATCTAAGAAACTATTGCATAATCCAAAGAAGCAGATAGATTTTTACATAGTTTATATAAATTTTTCCATTCTTTAGTGGTTTTCAAAGTAATCATCATCACATCATCTATAAACAAATGCGTGAATATAAAGCTTCATCTTACGAGTGTAAAATAAGAGGCTGGGCACGGTGGCTCATGCCTGTAATCCCAGCACTTTGGGAGGCTAAGGCGGGCTGATAACCTGAGGTCAGGAGTTCAAGACCAGCCTGACCAACATGGTGAAACGCCGTCTCTACTAAAAACACAAAAATTAGCCAAGCCTGGTGGCAGGAACCTGTAATCCCAGCTACTCAGGAGGCTGAGGCAGGAGAATTGCTGGAACCCAGGAGGTGGAGGTTGCAGTGAGCTGAGATTGTACCATTGCACCTCAGCCTGGACAACAAGAGCAAAACTGTCTCAAAAAAAAAAAAAAGAAAGAAAGAAAGCATATTTTTAATTTATTGAATTATGTAGTCTTCTCCAGTGTTGACTAAACGGGTAAAAATACAGTAGCATAATTATGAATTCTTCATAAATCAAATAAGTACATTCATAGCACTGGGCTAAGGTATGACATTAAAGAAAGTGCCAATGTCTAATAAGATTCATATGATACAAAAGGGAAGGAGGACAACCCCATATGCCTGATATCTAACTAGTAACTAGTTCTCACTGAACATTTAATTTTTGTCTTTGCTGCATCCTGGTTATTCTCTGCCCACCCCTTCAACTGTCGGACTTTGTGTGCCCTGCTCTGTGCCTGGGAGGCTGACCCCACAGATGTATGGCTTGGACTTTCGTGCTGGCCTGAGTTCCTGCTGCACTTGGTTAAAAGGGTGAAACGGGGGAAAGGGTACGGTGTTTCTTCTCTGCTTCCTATCTGGGGCATCTCTCTGGCTGCCCTGACAATGCCCACTCTCTATAATGGCCTTCATGGAAGTCGCTCGATTGAACCAGCTGAGTGGGACCACGTTTTCTGCCAGGACTCTGAGTCAGGCCCAGCTGTGACATTTGTAGGGGCCAGTGTAAGAACATGATTAGAGGCCTCTATATTATATTCTAAGGATTTTAAAGTTATTTGAAATCTGGCTAACAAACTGTTAACTAAAATATATTACGCCTTCGTACTGTGAAAAACATCCCTTTGTAATGAATGATCTAGAAGACCAGCACACACTGAGGCTTCTCAGACGTTTTCAGAGTTCCGTGTAGGAACAGGGTGGCCCAGGGTGAACTGGCCCTCAGCCTTTGGTGCCCAGCTGGAGCCCACCCCCATTCTGCTCTACCCTTTGCACCACCCTACTCAGAAAGGGTCATTTACATGTGGGTGTAGAGCACCCCCATCCTGCGATTCCAAGGTCCAGCCAGACCCTCTATAAGGAGTCGCCCCTTGGCTCCTTCCTTGGTCTACAGGTGAGCACACTGGGCACCGTCCACCCTCGGGAGAAGGTGGCTGAGGAAGATGATCATCTAGGTCCTCACTGGACATGAGCCCAGAACTGTCTGGGCTGGGAATTGCAGGGATCCAGGTGGGCAGAGTTCAGTCTAGAAGGAAGGAGATGTGGTGAGCTCCCAGTGGGCATCTCCCACCTGGCGCTGAGGTCTCCTTCCTTCTTAGGGCGGGGCACGGCCCAGAGCCCGGCGAGCTCTCTGAAGTACAAGGCCCTAGGCAGGGGCTCCCTTACAAGAATGTAAGCCTTTTCCTCACAGAGCTTACCACTTTATTCAAAAGGAGAGCCGTGCATAAAAGGGGCTGTAGAATATTCTGAAGCATTAAACATTGTTGTACACAGATTTGAGTTTGTAAAGATGGTAGATTCATATTTCTTAAGCAAATTAAACTCACCTTGTTCAGTCGAATGAACCACTTTTGACAACATGGACCGGAGAACAGAGAATGGCACAACAGCGAAAAGGAACGGCGCCCTGGCTGTGAGAGAAAGGGTTCAACATCACTGGCGTATTCTGAAAGCTGATGGCCAATTTAAAACAGGAAACACTTTCACGCTGCCTAAATGTTTCCTTTTCTACAAGCATCCTAACTCATTGTATCTAAAAATGGAATGAATTAATTGTAGAACTCTGTTTGATGAACTAAAGGACTATGGACAGGTCAGTTTAAGGTTAATTTACTCGAGAATTCCTATTCCAGTACAAAGAACAAGAGATCATGTAGTTTTTAGGTCTAGATCTATTTATATAATCTGCCGATTAAGACTGATCTGCTGGCCGGGCTCACTGGCTCATGCCTGTAATCCCAGCACTTTGGGAGGCTCAGACAGTTGGATCACCTGAGTTCAGGAATTTGAGACCAGCCTCACCAACATGGAGAAACCCTGTCTCTACTAAAAATACCAAATTAGACAGGCGTGGTGGCACATGTCTGTAATCCCAGCTACTTGGGAGGCTGAGGCAGGAGGATCGCTTGAACCTGGGAGGCAGAGGTTGCAGTGAGCCCAGATCGCACCACTGCACTCTAGCCTAGTGACAGAGTGAGACTCCGTCTTAAAAAAAAAAAAAAAAAAAGACTGGTCTGCTTATTTTCCTAATTATGTATTAACCTCTTATTTAGCAAATTGTGACTGCGAATTCGTTTTTGTTTGTGCTTTTTTCAGACTTGGCACTCTTAGTGTTAGCATGCCTTTATTATATTGATTCATTTATTGGTAAACTGGTTCTTTATCATCTTGCCTGTTCATCTTTGTGGCAGAATAACTTCATAAACACAAATTACCTCTGGTCTTCAGTTATGACCCTTAATGGTCAGTAGTTTTAATTACATCATAAAATAGTAAAATATGACATTAGCAGATCACTTTACAGTTCTCAAAGCGTTTTCACATAGGTTAACTTACTTGGCCTTGGCAGCTCTTAGGGAGACAGGGAGAAAAACTGGCCATTATTGAATGGTAGGGATTGTGCTAAGCGAGTGCTTGACAGCTACCTAATATTCACTGTAATCCTCTAAATTAGGTAGTACCATGCCCATTTTACAGATGAGAAAATTAGGGCTGAGAGTAGTTCAGTAACTTTTCTAAGACCATCTAGGACTATAGATGGAAGTTGGGCCCAATTCTGTTTGGTCACACTGCTTCCCTGCAAGATAATAAGGGGTTAACACCTTTATTAGAGAAAAGAGTAAACTGGACCTTTCCCAGAGTCTCATTTTATAGTTCCATAGCCTTTTCCAATGCAGTATCTCATTCGAATCCTGCAAAAACCGTTATGAGGTAGGTAGTTAAGGAAGCAGGCTAATTTGCCAACCAGCAATTCATCAAAAATCAATTTATGAAATGGCCAATTTGCTGAAAGATCAATTTGCAAAACCTGTCTTTAAAAAATTTCTTCTTGAATATATTAAATTGACATAGTTTTTTGTCTTGTATTTTTAGTATACTTTATATCATTGTCCTAAATATTTTTATGGAAAGTAGTCTTCTTAGTAGCATTTTAAGAAATGTTCACTTTAATGAAAGCTATGTTGAAGAACTGACTCATAACAAGAACATTCCTGAAAACAATTTTGTGGCAAATATACAAATTTGGGAAATGCGGTTATTCAGTGAATTACATTTTTAAAAGCAAATTTGGCTTTCAGCTTATTGACTCCTGGCAAACTAGCTATTGCCCTTTAATTGAACTAGAATGGCTTAAATAGAGGGCTTTATATTAAAGTTTTTCCCCCAGTAGACAATAATCATTCTATATGAATATCAAATACATAGTTCTAAAGCTACACTTGGAACTCACCTAAAAACATCATCAGTGTTGTCTTGGCGAACGCGGTCATAGCCATTCCTGTCATCGTGGTAAAAATCCCAATGAAGGCCATATGAATATCTTCCATACAATAAGAAAAAAGCCATATTCCTAGGAAACTAGTCAAAAAAGAGGCACTATTCAAAGCTGATCCATAACCTATGAAAACTTCATTCCAGCAGAGTGGGGAATCCAATTCATAAAGGATAAAAATTGGGCCAATGCCAATTACCACAAAAAAATAAGTGATCATTGTAAAAAGTAACAAACAGAGTAAAAATCGTCTCTTACTGGAAGCATTTTTAAAAAGCATGTAAGTTCGGTAAAATAGGTTTTTGAAGCCTTCACTACATGACATAGTAACATTCTGAGATGAAAACTCTTTCACTGGATCACCAAGAAAAAATAAAATATAGATCAAATTAACAGCAAGAGAAACAGCAATAATTAGAAACGACCACCCAAAACCTAGCCCTCTAATAAAATAGCCAGATAACAGTCCTGTTAGTCCAGTAACAAGTCCAACTAGAAAGTCAATGATAGCTATTCGAATTGTTTTTTGTTTGTGTTCTTTACACTGATCAACTATATAAGCAAAGCAGGCTCCCCAAAATGTGGTATAATTGCCACAAAATGCACCAACGAAGGTAGATGCAATCAAAAGCTGGAATGGAAAGGCAAAATAGCAAAGCAAACAGAGCCAAACACTGGTTGCAAGAACACCAACGGAAGACAAAATCATAGGGAATTTTCGCCCGTAGTGATCACTAATAGACAGAAGTATGAATGTAGACACCAGACCAGGAATTAATCCACTTATGTCCATCTGCAGATTAAAACGTGACACTTTTTTCTGAACTTCCTGCAAAGAAATAAAAAGAAATGTGTTTACAATAGTTTAAACAATGTGCATACAAGTATCATGGTGCATGCTTTTTGCCCTGTGGCCAATAGGTTATGGATGAGGAATCTCTAGTGCATGGGCAGGACTAATACAGCTTACATTTTCATCCAGTTTACAAAGCAATACAGACTGAGTATCCCTTATCTGAAATGCTTGACACCAGAAGTGTTTCGGATTTTGGATTTTTTCAGACTTTGGGATATAATGAGATACCTTGTGGATGGGACTCACATTTAAACACAACATTCATTTATGTTTCATATGTACCTCATACATATAGCCTGAAGGTAATTTTATACAATACTTTAAACAATTTGTGCATAAAACAGTTGCCATTGAGTACTTGTGTGTGGAATTTTACACTTCTGGTAAAATGTGGTGATCAAAAAGCTTCAGATTTTGGCTGGGCGTGGTGGCTCATGCCTGTAATCTTCATATTTTGGGAGGCCGAGGCAGGAGGATCACTTGAGGTCAGGAGTTTGAGACCAGCTTGGCCAACATGGTAAAACTCTTATCTCTACCAAAAAATAAAAATAAAATAAAATAATTAGCCTTTATTTAGGGAGAGCTTGGCTGTTTCTCTTTTTTTTTTAAACCTATGTCTTCACAGATAGATTAATGAGAAACATATTCCTTTATTTACTAAATAAAAGAACATTTAGAATAAGATAAAATTGAAAGAGGAGCCTTACATTGTCTACAGATGGTAGCATGCCATGGCTGAGCGTGGCGGCTTACGCTTATAATCCCAGCACTGTGGGAGGCCGAGGTGGGAGCTTCGCTTGTGCCCAGGAATTTGAGACCAGCCTGGGCAACATAGTGAGACCCTGTCTCTACAAAAAATACAAAAATTAGCTGGGCGTGGTGGCGTGCACCTGTAGTCCTAGCTACTCAGGAGGCTGTGCAGAAGAATTGCTTGAACCCGGGAGGCAGAGGTTGCAGTGAGCTGAGATTGTGCCATTGCACTCCAGCCTGGGTGACAGAGTGAGACTCCATCTCAAATAAATAAAAATAAAAAGTAAATAAAGGTGGTAGTATGTCATGACCTGAGGAGTAAGATAAACTCAACTTCCAAGGACCAAAATGACAATGACAGATGACATACACACACAGATTGGAAGATGTGTCAATCATTACACTAGTTATTTGATGGAAGGAATTTTGCATGATCTTAAAACATTTTTTGCTTGCCATTTCTCTGTATTTTCCAAAGTCAATATAAAAAGTGTGTGCCATTTGTAAACTGGGAAATGCTAAGCTGATTTAAAAAACAGATTTAAACCTTTTTTAGTCATTGAATGAGTCACTGAAGGCAATGGTGGTACCTCCTGGGAAACAAACATGTTCCTTTGTCCTAAGGGGCAAACGGAGTGTAGGCGTGGGTGGCACTCCGGCGTGGGTGGCAGGGTGAGGCTAGGGGTGGTTTCTGGTTGCTGGAGGTCTAAGAGCACCAGCTTTAAGGGAAGGGATCCAGAGTAGTAGGTTCTCTTGAATATTAATCCAATCAACAAACAATAAATGAAAAAGTCAATTTGAAAATTTCGCAAAAATCGTTGACATGAGACCACTGCTCTGGGCAATAGAGGGCGCTCAGCAGCTGGGCCAGGCTGGAGGTGGCCAACACTTGCCACCTGTACGGTTGCAGAAGCCACCAAGCTGGCTGGACCAAGGCCTGTCTTCCCTCATTCCAAGAGGGCAAGAGCCACGGACTTCCCCAGACATTCTAGTCCTCTCCTCCCAGGTCCCTCCCACTGCAACCAGGGGGCCTGCTCCTAGCGGTCAGCTGAAAGAAAGCACAGAATCAAACACAGAAGTTGAAAAGCCTATGAGGAGAGATTTGTTAAAGGATACAAAATTAAGCTAGACAGGAGGAGTAAGTTACAGTGTTCTGTAGCACCACGGGGTGACTGCAGTTAACAGTAATACATTATGTAGTTTCAAAGAGCAAGAAGGAGGATATTGAATGTTCCCAACACAAAGAAATGAGAGACGTTTGAGCTGATGGATATGCTAATTAGCCTGATCTGATCACTATACATTGTATGTATCAAAATACTACTGTATGCGCCATGAATATGTACAATGATTATTTGTCAGTTAAAAAAATAAAATAATGCCGGGCACGGTGGCTCACACCTGTAATCCCAACACTTTGAGAGGCCCAGGCAGGAGGCTCACTTGAGGCCAGGAGTTCAAAGCCAGCCTGGGAAACAGAGCAAGACCCTGTCTCTACAAAAAATTAAAAATTAGCTGAGTGTAGTGGCAAGGGCCTGTAGTCCCAGCTGCTCAGGAGGCTGAGGTGAGAGGATCCCTTGAGCCTAGAGTTCAAAGTTGCAGCGAGCTATCACCACACCACTCCACTCCAGCGTGGGCAGCAGAATGAGACCCTGTCTCAAAAAGTACCATACATGCAGAAATACACAATAAACAAAAAACACTTCAGGTGATTCCAATGTCAAGGTTAAAAAACACTGTGTGAGAGGTTCCAGGATGGGATTCAAGTATGTATACTAACAAACGTCTCCAAAGCCGAAATCTGAAGAGCATCCCTACCGTAGGACCCCAACTTTGAAACTAAGAGGATTTGTTCAACTCTATTCTGTTTATGTGTGTTTTTCTCAACCTAGAGAGACTCTGGGCTTCTCAGGTTCAGAGCCATTTTGCCTATCCTTGTCACCACAGGATAATGCGTTCTATGACAGAACCTTGATGTCTTCCAGGCTGTTCAGAAATAATCACTTCCAAGAAAACATTTCCCATGGGAATGCGGAAATGAGTAAGATTAGGGGTTGTGCCAAACTGTCTAGCCTCACCCCAGCAAGGTTCCACCTGACACCTTGGGAAGTGCTAGAACCTTGCCTCTCGGGTGATTTGCCATTTCCTCCTTCTCAGGCTCTTCTCCCGGTCCCAGGGACTCTCAGAGCCAGCAGGAGGTGACTCAATTCCTTTTAACTGATGATCTTTCACTGGGAAGGCAGCACCACTCCTTTACAATCACAAAACAGCCCCAAGAAGAAGAGTTTAGAGTTTACAGGTGTGATTTGTTTCTGAGGCATTGTAGGAAAAAAAAAAAGCATTTCCAAACCTGGATACTATCTCTTTGCATTTTGAAATGATAGACTTTTGTCAAAAACTGCCCAAGGGACCAGGAGAATGGTGAAGTGCATCCTGTTTTACACACAAAAAATTGGGGAGGTGGCTGGAGAGGGAAGAAGAAGGCCTCCTTAATATCTGGCTAAACATTTTTGGTGTCATCGGGGGGTACTCTGCACTCCAGATGTCCTCACACAGCTGCTCCTTAACACGTGACAGCCAAGGCTGATTTGACACGACACCACCACCAAACAATAAACGCTCCTTCACCCCACCCTATGACAGACACTGGCCCACAATCTTCAGTGATGCGCCACTTTCTAGAGTCCCTGAAAACTGGGACATGCAGAAACAGTAAAAGGATTGGGGAAGAAGAGAGCCACCCCTGTCCACCAAGTAGCCCATTCCAACCTGCCCTGCCCCAATTTTCAGACCTTTTTTTTTTTTTTTGGACAAAGGAAGGAGACAGCCACAGAGGAGATGACACCGTGGTGACATTTTCCGAGAGAAAGGAGAAGAGCTAGTGTCCCAGTGGAGGAGGGTGTTTTAAGAAGAGGCAGATTTGAAAGGTGTCAGGAAACTTCAAATGGGGTGAGGTCCCAGTAAAGGCCATTAGGTTTGGGAATTAGGACTTCGATGGCTGCCCTAGAGAGAGCAATGGATGATGAGTTCAGGGTCCTCTGACTCAAAAGCCCCGTACACATTCCCTTTTTATTAAATACTATGGATATTGTAATTTCTTACCTCCTGGAATGCAAAAATTGGACTGCTTTTGTTTTTTTCACACTCAGAAATATTGCTATCAGATGAAAACGTGTAGTTGCCAGTTTCTTCCCATATTCTCCGATAAACATATTGCGTTGTCAGCGGACTGGTCAAAGTCATAGCAAATGCACTAAGGAAAATGGCAGGTTCTACAAATAAAATCTTCATATTGCCTGGGTAGGTAGCTGTATTCTATAAAAAGTGAAAACGGAGAAAGATCATCTGTCTCATCCCAGAGGCTAGATATTCAAAGATGGGGAAGTTTGAGCAATTTCGTGGAGTAAATGTTTAAACAAGCAAACTAGAGAACAGAAAAGGCAGTAAGCACTTTCTCAGAGAATAACTTTTACTCTGGAGTAGAGTACTCTGTAGCAACCTGACGCTGCCGTGCTTTCCATTTTTATGATTACGACATTGTAGGACTCCAGCCGCCTTTGAGTCTTTGAAATAATAAATTGTCACCATCTTGGTTAGCCAATGATCACAGTACAGTTCCCACACTGTATACTGCCAACTGTTTTTTCATAAGTTCAACAATGAGGTTCCTTTTGGGAAGCCACAGTTGCACAACTGTTATTGTTATTTTGCTGCGTGTTAACAACGGACAGGGAGGGGGCGTTTTAAAAAGCAGCTCCCAATCAGAAGGGCCTTATTTTTAACTCACCCCACGATTACAGTCTTCCTGCCAGGCTGGGCTCACGTCGGGCCGTGCCCGGGGCTGTCGCCTCGAATGCCCTGCGCTCGCGCGCGCCCGGGTTCAAGGGCAGCCTCTGGACTGGGGCAACGGAGGACGCGCCGGGGACAGTAACCTCGGGCTGCGCGGCCGGCGCTGGGGTGGGGAGGGGACTTGCCCGTCGAACTCGACCAAATTACCCTTGTCGGGGAGTCTCAAGCGTATTGTAAAGCAAACCACGGCAAGCGCACTTCCGCGTCCCAAGTGACACCTGCACGGTTCCCCGCGCAGCCCTCGGCTTCCTCGCGGCTCTGCGGACTTGGCCTCAGCGCGGCGCGGTGGGGCACGCGGCGGCTGCTCCTTCTGCGCAGTGGACAGTTGGCCGATCGGTGCTTCTGTCGGTCGGTCCGCGGCCCGGCCAGCGCTCGGCGGTGACTCGGCCGCAGCCCGCAGGGCATCGCTGTCCGCCCAGGAGGCGGGGTCGGCTGCCGCGGCGCTGTCACTGTTCTACCCTGGTCTCCTGCGATTGGGCCCAGCAGCCGGTGCCCCAGCGGCGATTGGTCCACTCCGACGTCACTCTCCCCCGGAGAGTGGCTAGTGGATCGTGCACCCACCCTCGGAGGTCCGGAGTGGATCCCGCGCGGCGGAGCAGCCGCTCATCACCGCTGTTGGGTGCTGGGCCGCGCCGCAGGCTCAGCGGCTCTGGAGTTGCAAAGCGTTTCTGAATCCGAATAGCGTTTCTCATGTAAACACATAAAATAACTGTTGCAAAAGTAACATGTTTGGGCTGTAGCCCCCAGCAGGATCCCGGTGGGCCGGGCAGGTGCCCGCAGAAGAGGGGAAGGGGCGCCGGTGGAGGGCATAGGAAAGAGAGTGTTCAATGCAGAGTTAGTGGAGGGTTGGAATGTGGTCGCTGGCTCTTCCTGGGGAGGGGGACTTGGGCAAATCGTTAAATTTTCATGAACCTCCATGTCTTTATCTGCCATGTGAGGATAATAACAGTCTTACAGGGTTGTCTAATTAAACACTCAGCATGTATACACAACATAACCCCTGGACATAGGAGGAGCTGTCAGTGCTCTCCAATAAACCCACCAAGAACACGCTTGTAGTGAAAGAATTGAGCTATTACTTCTTGAAGCCAGGAGGAATGCATGCGTGAGGAACCGTGGGGGCATCTCAGTAAGAAGGTGTTAGATTTTACTATGGGCTTGTGTTATGTGATTTTGGGAAGAGTTCAAGAAAGCAAGGCCTTACTCTGGATTGGTTGCTGTCAGGAAGTGGCAGTAATTCTATGATTGGGTATCTTAATAAGTCTTATTTAGAAGGAGTCAAGACTAGACAGAGGCTAAAGCCATGAATGATAAAGAAGCAGCAGTCACACATATTTGTCATTTTTGTGGTTTAGACAATGCCTAGATTTTGTCCGTGTTCAGACAAAATTACGACGTGGTCTTGTTTTTGTTTTGATCATGGTTACAGAATGCTCTTGTCTGACTTTGGTGTTCTGTGAAATTGTTTTCATTAGACAGAACACCATGGTCCAGAAAAGTTCTTAGCAACACCGAGGCCCAGCTGATAGTTCCAGCACCTGGATGTCAGAGCTGCTTTCTCTTCCTCAGCACTCCTTAAATGACAGTTATGTCACTGAATGTAGAGTTAAACGTCTTTGGTTTGAGTCCTAATTGCTACTTAGTAGCTGGTAGCCTTGGACTTGCCACTTAATCTTACTTCTCAGCTTCTTCAAATCAGCATTTATGAAGCACTTGTTATGAGTTTCAAACAATGGAGCATGAATATTGGAAAGAAGATATACAAACACAAGTAAGATATAGTTTGCAAGGAAGACATAATATTTTACATTGCAGTACTTTGTGCTAAGAACTAGATTATTTTAAATGGCACTTAGAAGATGTCCCTTTTTTTTTTTTTTTTTTTTTTTTTGAGGTGGAGTCTCGCTCTGTCTCCCAGGCCGGAGTGCAGTGACAGGATTTTGGCTCACTTCAACCTCCGCCTTCCGGATTCAAGCAATTATCCTGCCTCGGCCTCCTGAGTAGCTGGGGTTACAGGCGTGCGCCACCATGCCCGGCTAATTTTTGTATTTTTAGTAGAGGCAGGGTTTCACCATGTTGACCAGGATGATCTTGAACTCCTGACCACAGGTGACCTGCCCGCCTCAGCCTCCCAAAGTGCTGGGATTACAGGCATGTGCCACTGCACCTGGCTGAAGATGTCCTCTCTTATGGGGCAAAAATAATTAGTGTCCAATATACTTCCACGCTTTGCATTCCTACTCTTCCACATGAAGAAGAAAGCCAGGTCTTCTTAATGAGTTCTGCTGCTGATCTCTATGGTGACAACAGTCATTATGGAAGCCTTTTTTTTTTTTTTTCAAGTAATATTAAGTGCTTCAGTATGTACTAAAGAAGCTTGACTCTTAATTGTCACTCTGTTGGGCACAGTGGAGTAAAAACAATTCTAAAACCAAGTATATGGAAACCATCAAGACCTGTCACTCCCGTTTCTCCACAGCTATTGTTGCTCCTCACAGACTCCCACTTCAGCCTTCTTCCTTCAAAGACTCTGAGAGAAGAAATAAAAAATAAAAGCAAGTGTGCAAGGAGCAGTGGCCATTCACCAGGCATAATCTCCCTGGCCGTGTTTCTGAAATGTAGATCAAGAGGTGTATTCTTCGGGAAAGGGGTCTCCAGGATTTTGAAATCTTATGTTTTCATTTAAATGACCTAGAAATTTTAATGTTAGCATATTATGAATTGTCTTGTAATCAAGTACTGACATTTTATTTCAGTGTCTATATTTGTATTTCTGCTTATGGTCACATTGGCTCCAAGCAGCCGTACCTAAATGATGTCTGACTAATGAGAAAATAAGTGGACTAAATATGTAAATGATATGCCCAAACTAAGTGAAGTCCAAACAATGTCATATCATGCTCTTCAAGAGAAGTTTCCATAGTATTCCAATAAGAGGTATGGATGGGAGACTTAAGTCATCGCCTTACACACAAATAGACATACTGAACTCAGAAGAACACATACTGTGCTGGGCAGTGCCATGGTCAAGTGGCAAAAGCCAAAATGGAATAGAGTAGCTATGAGATTTTGTTGGTCTCAAGAAGAAAGTGACTTGTTTACTTCTGATCAAATCAGCAAAGTAAGATGTGATGAAAAGACTTCAGTTATACCAATGACTGCTTAGTAGATGATTGTCAAAATGGCTCTGATAAGAGTAATGTGATACAACTCCAAGCACAAATTGTTGAAGGGAAATGTGATCTAATCATATGACCTTAGTCAATAAGTTTCCAAAATAGGCCTCAGTAGGTCTTATCTAGTTGAGAATTTCATAACCTGATGTCAGCCTTGTCTTTCTTGACCTCTGTTGCTTTGGACACTGTGAAATAGATTCCTCCCTCTGGAAATATTTTCCCTCTTAGGGTTCCGTAACCTGACTGTCTTCCTGTTTCCCTGAGAGCTCCACCTCAGTTTCCTCTGTGAGCTTGCTTCTCAGATGGTGCTGTGCCTCAGGCCCTATCTCAGCTCTGACCTCTTCCCAGTCAATTTCTTATGCACTTAAGATCAGCTACCACAAATATGACCATTTCCAAATCTCTTATTTCCAAATCTCTTATTTCAAGCCTACCCTCTTCTCTTGAACTTAACACCCAGAACTTCCTTTAATTTGTAGTTAAAACAAAAGCAAAAAACAAAAACAAAAAAACCCAAACCCCACAAAACTGTATACTTTATAAAGCAGATATCACCTTCCTCATACATCTGATACCCTCTTATAATCTTTGTTTCAGTCAGTAACATCACCTGTCCAGTTAACAGATATGGAGACTTAGGACTCATCCCTGACTTTTTGATCATTAAATGCATTGCAAATATTTTACATCATAAATAGAATTAATATTATCTATACCTTTTTCAGGTGTGTGGCTGTAAGGAAAGCAGGTCCCTGGTTTAGTAGCATTCAGACTGAACATCTCTTTTTTGGCTTGGCTGAGGTGATGGGCTCTGTCTTGCTATTGGTCTATTGCTGAGTGGCATTTGAAAGTTGCTGGAGAGGTGAACAAAATGCAAAGCGATCAAGGAGTTCTCTTGTAAATCAGAACTCCTGACCCTTTCCCTCTAAGGTCTCAAGTTATTACAACACTTCTGATGGCCTGCGATGGTCCTAAGAAGGCTCAGTTGTCAGAAATGTACAATAACAGCCCTCGAGGAGAAATCCACCATGTTGGTGGTGACGGTGGTGGTGGAGTTGGTGGCGGAGTTGAGGGAGGGTCAGTGAGGAACAGAATCATGTGATTGCACCACAACCTGATCTACCACCTTGGACCCTGGGGTTCGTTGAGAGAAATGGCTGATTAACTGTAAATGCAACTATCTGTCACTAGAGTTGTAACCAGGAATCCAGTGTCCCATGGTGTGGAGAACCCATTGCTACAACCTTTATGCCTGGGAGCTGAACATCTTGTTTCTGGTACCAGCCTCACCAGAGCAGTGGTTGGAACCTTAGGCAGAGTGACTAGACCTCTCAGTTTCTTTTCTGCACAATGATAGTAAACAGGACTACCTCATTTGCACTAAGTACGCTCCTGGAGGATTTTACTTTTCAAGGAAGGAAGAGCTCAGAGAATGAAGAACGCACTTCTTACAAGCAATAGGATGGAAGCTCACATTTGATTTGTCTGTGTAGTGACTTAAATTTGGCTTATTTCCGGCTGGGCACGGTGGCTCATGCCTGTAATCCCAGCACTTTGGGAGGCTGAGGTGGGCGGATCACGAGGTCAGGAGATCGAGACCACCCTGGCTAACACAGTGAAACCCCGTCTCTACTAAAAATACAAAAAATTAGCCAGGCGTGGTGGCGGGCGCCTGTAGTCCCAGCTACTCGGGAGACTGAGGCAGGAGAATGGTGTGAACCCAGGAGGCAGAGGTTGCAGTGAGCCGAGATTGCGCCACTGCACTCCAGCCTGGGCGACAGAGCCAGACTTTGTCTCAGAAAAAAAAAAAAAAAAAAAATTTTTTTGGGGGGGCTTATTTCCTATAGCAGCAGGTAAAAGCTCCTAGAACAGGGGATGGCAATTGGTGGGTATTCACTAATGCATGGATTTGAATCTCACTCATGCTTAATCAGACGCACCTCGTACTATGTGTTTCAGAAACTATAAAGCACAACCCAGCCACCACTCCAAACTGACATTTCCCCTGCGGAAGAGTCAGTCCAACCTTAACGGGCTTGGGAATAGCAGGAAGAAAGGGTTTAAAGCCAGCAAGTAACTTAAAGTCCCATGCATGTGACTTCACAATACAGCCCTTGTTTAGAAGGTTAGCCCACCTGTTTCCACCTCCAGCTCCTTACCCTTACCCCAGGCCACCACTGTTTCTCACTTGCGTTGCTGCACTGTTTCCTACCTGGGCAATACAACATCTTCTTCTGAAACCATCAGCGGCCTCCCCACTTGAATTCAGAATAACGTGCA